TTATTCATGTTCAAGAAAAAGCTAGCAACTGAAAATTCCAAAATAGTTCAACCAAAATTTTGCTTCGGCCAAATGAAACATTTTGTTCAACCTACACCAAATTCACACAATAGTCAAAGGAAGAGGAGGAAGCAGCTCCCTTATAGCATTCAGCCGAGTAGTTATGGCACTCACTTGGGATGTGACACACCCCAGTTCAACTCCCCCCTCTGCCTGATGTGTAGGAGGGAGCTGAACATGGGTCCCTCACCTACCAGGGGAATGCCGTAACTACTGGTCATTGGGGTAGTCAGGGATGGGAATCTCATGCTCTCCTGTTGAAGCTTTTCAAATCTGTATAAATAATTAGTCACTGGGGCAGGAAGGCTGGAACCTGGGTCTGCCACCTCCCATGTGACTGAAAGCACCCCTGTATTCACACCCAACATATTATTGTAATGGTCTTTGTGCAAAATATACCTTGTGAGGTATCATTTAAAAACTACCAACACAATGGTCATCAATATCCTTCCGTAATGTATGAACAAAATGCGAATTAAGAGTTATGGACAAAGTGAAATTATGACTACACTGTGTTTACCAGGCAAGTCTGGAGTGGGAGTAAACCCATTTTTCAAAGACAAATGACAAGCTGACACCTCTAGCCAGCTGTTATCAAAGTTGACTGGCAATCACTTGTCAAGTCGCCATTCTTTGGCCACAAAGGGGAGCAGGAACAAATCAATCTGCATTTTAGCAAACAGTATGGATCCTCGTTCACCATGAGTCTCCAGGTCTCCTTTCTCACAGCTGGAATGAACTTTATCTAGAGATAACCCCCAGGAAAATGCATTTCAAAGGGTGACTGGACTATAAAAGTAAGGGGCAAACACACCCCAGGTTCTCGCTCTTTATTACCTAAGACAATGGAACCAGCCCTTTGACTTTGAGGGGAGATTCTGACCTGAGAATTTGGTCAGTCCTGTTGCTGGGAACATATGTTAAGGATTTCACCTTTAATCATATGTAGCTTGTTAAGTTTTTGCTACTAGGAAGCATTTTATCTTTATTATTCTGGTAACTACTGCAGATTTTAATACTTATATTTGTACTCATTTAAAACCTCCCTCTTTGTACTTAAATAAACTTGTTTTATTTTTAATCTAAACTAATCCGCTGTTGTGTTTAAACTGAACTGTTTGGTACCTTCCGTTAAAGTAGCCAACTGTTGAATATTGACCCTTTACAGGGGTAATGGACCTTTAATATCCAGACTGTCTAGGAAATGGCTGGACAGTGCAGAACATGTTTTTGGGAAAATTTGGGTCTGGGAGTTTGCTGGGGTCACCCTGCAGGTAGTAACCAAAGCTGCTGGAAGCCAGAGTGTGACTGGTGTGTTGCTGACAGGCTGCTGGGGTCAGAGCTGGCAGACCAGGGCCGCAGCTATACACACACACACTCAGGGTGTGACCTGCCTGCTGTTAGGCTGTTTGCGAGTGGCCCTTGTTGGGAGCTACAGCAACGAAGCATTGGGAGGCACCCAAGATTGCAGGGCAGGCGCAACCTCTCACTGGTCTGGATTCCTGCGTCTTCCACCTCCCATGTCAATGGCCTGACCACTAGTCGACAGAGCCATTCTAATTCTCTTATTGGCCCAATGAATAATTATTTATACAAGTAGAACAAGAGATTGAGAGAGGCTTGCCCAGGATATCCCATAGCCCAGTGGCTAGGGCACTCTCCTGACAGTGAGACCCCCAAGTTCGAGTCCCTCCTCCACATCGGGCAGATGGAAGAACTGAACGAGGGTCCTCCCACATCCTGATGAATGCCCTAACAGCTGGGCTAAAGGCTGAAGGGGAGATGGAGGCAGCACATGCTCCCCATCCCCATTTTGTGAATGGTTCTGAAGTCGTCCTGTCCCCCACAAAAAATATTGTCCAAAACCATGTGGCAAATTCACATCTAATTCACGAATAGCTTTGGGTCAACCAAAACTGCATTTTTGGGGCAAAGAAACTGTGTGCCTGACAAATTTGCCCTCCTCTACACAGGACTATGCAAAGCAGTATACAGTTATAAGACTGCACAAAAAACCTTGTATGAATGAACATATGGACAATTGATGCACTAAATTCTGAATGCCTTATGCAATTTTTACTCCTGCAGAGCTTTTTATTTATGGTAGTAAATATGATTTATGTGGCAAGTTAAATTTATGGGATTGATGAAGCAAAAAAGTGGTAAAAAGTGATTAAAATGCTTCCCTCCTCCCTTGCAGATTTACAAAAGAAACTTGCAAACATTTCATATATGTGAGGAAGAGAAATTACATGAGGAAGGAAAGAAAGCAGAGCACCAAATACAAGCAAAATGAAGAGCTAATTCCTTTTCATTCTATGTAAGCATGTATGACATTCAGAGAATCACAAACAAACCTATGCTGACCACAATAATGTAACAAGGAAATCATATGGAAAACATATTACTTTTAAAACTTATTTGTAAAGAGTCATTGTATATTATAAGAAATATTCATAAAACGGTGCTTTAATTCTCTTCTTGTAATGTTTAAATAAGGAATACAACATCCCACAAAGGCCTTAAAATAATGATTACATGTGACATAGCAAATGTGTCCTCAGCTGAAAATTGCAATTGCTCTCCCACTAGTTTTCTATACCCTTTCTACCTATTTTTAGGCACAAGCAATTTCTGAGCATGCAAATAATTTATGCACACAAATTTGTGTTTCCTGAGACTGGACTGCAAATGCAAATTGTTTGCTTAACTTTACATACTAAATTAGGTCTGCAAGACAAGTCTGTGTAGATATGACTCTCACTGAAAAAAAAAATATATATATAAATGCAACCTCCATGCAAATTAGTAGACACAAATCTGACCAAACAGCCTGCAACAGCTGAACTACCAAAGAATGTATGAGCTTCTTAATTACCTACAGCAACCATTTCTACTAACCAGAATAAAAACTTAAAACCTACAATTAAGTAGTGTTAAATTTAAAAAAAAAAAAAAAATTTCTGCTCTCAGCTACATAAAATATCAATATGTGGAATGCTCATTGAAAACATTTTCACTATTAACAACCTTGAAAATGTTCTCAACATTTTTGTTTGTATCATCTTACTATTAAGTTTGTGAATATGTTCATTTGGCATATGTGGACAAAAGCTTAAAGAGCCTGTTGGGTTTGTTTAGGATTTAATATTAAAATAATCATTACAAAATCCAAGAATAGATATGTTTACAGTGAATATTTACATATAAATAGAAATGAAAATAGTTTTTAGTTTGGAATGTTACATTCACCTGTAATATCACTACCTTAACATTGTAATAGTTGTGGTAGTGCATTGGACCCAGAAAGCGAAATAGATTAGTAACTCACTGTAGTAACAAACGTGAAGCTATTTATTTTCACTGCCAAGCATAGGTGCTGACTCCGTGGGTGCTCTGGGGCTGGAGCACCCACAGGGAAAAATTAGTGGGTGATCTGCACCCACCGGCAGCCAAGCTCCCCTCCCTGCCCCACCTCTCCTCCTCCTCCTCCACCTCCCCTGAGCACGCCACGTCCCCGCTCCTCCGACTACCTTCCAGCGCTTCCCGATGCCAAACAGCTGTTTGGCGGCGCTTAGGACTTTCCAGGAGGGAGTGGGGAGGAGCAGGGACGCGGCATGCTCAGGGGAGGAGACGCAGAAGAGGCGGGGATAGGGCGGGGACTTGGGGTAAGGGGGTGGAATGGGGGGCGGGGACTTTGGGGAAGGAGTGGAATGGGGGCAGGGCGAGGGTGGTGCGGGGCGGAGGTAGAGTCGAGCACCCACCGGGAACAGTGGAAGTCGGTGCCTATGCTGCCAAGCTGAGTGAAATACAGGTAGTCAAGAAAGAGCATGAATGGGTAAATACGTATTAAATCTGAAAGAATTTTTAAAGTCTAACAACCTAAAGGTATTAGTAGTAGAAAAAGGCAGGCACCCAAAATATATATTTTAACTTAATAAAACATCGTACTGTTACAAACACTAACCTCTTTATATGCAGAGCATAGATACATTACGTTTATATTTGATAAGATTTATTATGGTTATTTGTCATATACTAATATGAATCTTTTCATGATGAAGAGGACTTCAAATCTTCATCATGAAAAATTTCATGATGGTATATGGCAAAGATGAATAAGACGACGACTTCAAAAAACAAACAAACAAAAAAAACAAACAAAAAAAACCCAAAAAACCCCAAAATCTCCATGATAGCTAGTCCGAAGCCCAGTTGAAACAGGAGAAGGGTTGGTGTCAGATTGGCGGCTAGACATGAAAACTCACCATAAAACTGACACTACGAGTCCTCAGATGAATCAAGAAAATGAGGGGGTATTCTAGAAACAACGCACAGTTCCCTTTGAGTTCTGAGGATAGGGAGGCCTTTTGATGCGGTTAACACAAGGAAGAAGATGGCAACTTCAAATGAAAGGGCAAATTCTCTCCACTATACCATGAAAACACAAAGGCTGAAGACAGAAGTTTTCTGCTCCAATTGTGACTCCTGTACAAACTCCCCCAGAGATGCTGCTCCATGTGTTTTCTACAAGCAGGGGAACCGAGGTGTTTTCCAGCCCAGCTCTTTGGGTCGAAGTGTCTGTGTGCACAAACCCAGTAATCCACAAAAACACAGACATGCTATTCCAACATGCAGATACCTACATGTATCACAGTAATGCAGGACCACTGCAGTTAAAATATGGGCACACATTAATACTACTTTGTAGCACATATGCCTGTTTGGAGGGCATTTTTACAAGGAGGCAGAATTTGGCCCAAACTGGTCCCATCAGAAAATAGACTAATGAACCTAATATATTTCCATCATAAATCATGCAAATAGATTATTTTCCAAGCAAGAATGTGTAAAATATCTCCCTGGGTTAAGATATTTTCCTACATATGATATGATATCTGTAACGTATTTTCAGTAACTTAAATTAAACAAACCGTTACCTGCTGGAATAAAGCAGAGTTCCATCACGTTGATACTGTTCATCTACATACAAAGAAGAAGAAGAAATAGTGGTTGCTAAGGAAGCTGCTTCAAATAGAGATGGAGTGCTTGGCACTAAATCCGGACGGTGCCGTGAACCTAATACTGTATAGGAGAAAATACATATGTTTCACTGTATATTCATTTTTAAAAATCTCATTTTTAATACAACTATCAGGGAAGTTTAGTTACTCCTGGGGAAATTCTGCTCCCAAATAATTAAAAATTATGTGCACGATATTTTAAAATTCTGCAAATTTTATTTGTCAAAATAACAATCACAACAGTTTCAATTATTTTGGTAATTTATTTCAAAATACCTGTCGACAAGTATGTCTAACAGTACAGACAACAAAAAAGATTCAGGAAATGTTTTTTGATAAATAGTTTCCTTACTAGGCATATTAATACAGAACTAAGTAATAGATCATTTAAACTCCAATACAGAAATATATTTCCTGCACCCCTCAGAAGCAGTGCAAAGGCTTGGGGGAGCCAGGGGTAATGGAGGAAATGAGGGAGAGCGAAGTAATTACTCAGAAGGAGCCTGGGAGTGAACCTGGAAGATTGCTGGGTGTGGGAAGTATGGAAGAGCTTTTTTGATAGGGTGCGGGGGGAAGGGATTGTTAGCGAGTTCGGGAGCCTCCCCCTTGCAGACCCTGGCTGACCGCCAGCCTCTCCCATTCAGTCAGACACATCTGCCCCTGTCCCCATGTGTCCCTGCACCCCCACTACCGTTCAGTCCTGGTTTAGTGCTGTCCCTCCACTAGCTCCCACACCCCAGTCTGTCCCCCCACTAGCGCTTCTGAACCCCAGTCTACGTGACCCCCCGACAGCAGCCCCATGTGCCCCCCTGTCTTCATCCCCCCCCATATCCCGTGCCTCCTCACCTGGCTTTGTGGGCAAGGCACTGTGAGTAAGGGAGCCACTGCTGGCTGCCCTCTCTTCTGGTGCCACAACAGCCCCTGGTGGGCAAAAGGTGTAATTGCAGCATCTCCCTGGCAGAATCTATTTTCTGCGGGGTGGCGTCTGCAAGGGACATGAATTCTGCATGTGCACAGTGGTGTAGAATTCCCCCAGGCGTATTATGTTATAACCTATCAGTATCTAAACAACGCACAAGCACACAGTATAACAATACTAATTTTCCAGAAGCAATCTAACACGTTTAACTAATGAGATTAATAGTTAATAAGATCTAGTCAGTGATGCAAGCACACTTCCACACCTGTAAGCCTCTTTAAAACCAAGAACATGCTTATGCAGCTAGCTAAGACATTTAGCACAATCTAGGTTCTATATTTTGAACAACTGTGGCACTGATACCCAGGTTAGCCATTCCAAAATATTACCTTCTTCATCAAGGCTGGAAAAGCTTTGTCCTTCAGTAAGGATGTCATGCTTTTCATCCTTCCATTCTTGGCTAACAGCAGACACAATTTCTTGTGATGTTGCCTTTAGGGCTGCAATGGAACTGCATCGTCTCTTGGAAGGAGAGGACTTTAGAGCTGCATTAAGAAAAAAGTGTAATGAACAAAGCTGGTGAATTATAGTGTTTTATTCATCTTTCACAGACTACATATAGTTTTACTAACTACAAACCCCTTTCTAAATGCAGATCAAGAATAAATCTAGATAAGAACATTTTAACATATACCAGTTTTATTCTACAGAGTCCATATTAGACATTGTGTCTCAAAGTCTGAATTGAGGTTTTATGGTCTTAGGGCCAAAAAGACTACTGCCTGTTAATTGCTTTTGACATTTTCTACACTGCAAGTCATAACTTGAGTATCTGCCTGTAAAAGTCAGAGAAAAAGAACAGAATGCAGGATAATGAAAGGAAGGAAGAGAACCCCTAAAGAGGATGCCATAGGCAATGGCTATGCTAACGCTGAACTGGCCTATGCCTAACACTGTCCCGGATTATCACAATTTTGTCTGTTTAAAAGGCCAGGTAAACTCTTGTTCTGTGCATTAAGCACTGGGGTGTTACACTGTAAAAGCATATAGACAGAGCTGTGGTTAAGACACTGGAGTGAGACTGCTCTCCTACTGTGCAAACAAGTTTTTCTTCCTGCTGTGATCTCCCTGCATTGCAAAGTGAACAATGGAACTCAAACTTCCATGGATCTACAATGGTGAGCACCAGAATTCAGTCTGTCCTGTCTCATGACTGCCAAAATATTTCCTTCCAAGGACCCTGATTGAAAAGGCCCCCTAATCTCCCATCCATTTCCCAAGCCATCCTCCCAAAATGAGCTACTAACATTGCTAGAGCTCCAAAGCACTATGTTCATACAAATAAATAATAAATAATCACTGAAGTCTTTTAGGAGTCCCACAAGCCTTACTTCTTCACACAGAATGCCACAAGACCAAGTGCCAGAAAGAAGCTTCCTTTAGATGGTGAGGTTGCTGCCTTTACAGTGTTTACAGCCTCTGCTACCCTGAAAAGCTCAGGGCTGAAACTTTGATCCTCATCCATGGGGAACTTCATTGCACTGCCCTTAGGATTGCCGGGATGGCCAGTTGACAGCATTCCCAATGCACAATTATTTTAGAAAAGGTACCTGTCCTAATGGAAGCATATTAATAGAATCTCAGGATTAGCTGGAAGCGAAAGGAGAGCAGGGTAATATGAGAGACCGTTACCATAGAACGCAGCAGAACCTCTGATCAACAAGGGACCCAGCAGAGGGACCAGAGGATTGAAAGTTTTTAAAGACATTCTCAGAGGAAGCTAGCAGCCTTACATAATTTGGCTAAATAGGACATTCTGAATTCTTTATTTTGCAAAAAAAATGAAAATGTCCTTAAAACCTTTAATATACAAGTAGATACACAGTCTTGTGTCAAGAGCAAACCATGAAAAGAACCATCAGATACATCATGTTAGAACTTTAGATATGATTAGTTTTGAAGAGCAAGAAAGAAGATAGAAAACTATAACTAAGAAGATTGAGCCCAAAAAGGGATAGAAGGCAAATACTCAGAGTCTTTCAACCTAGTCACCAACAATATATGGTCTTCCTGGGAATAAGACAGGAGCAGACTGAGAACAAACCAAAGTCTGAGAGTAGCCCAACTAGTAACCAAACAAAAAATTAATATTCCAAGCATAGTTACACTAAAGGCATTGTCATGGAACAGTATTGTTTCCTTTCCCTATGGCTAATCAGGTTACATTACCTCAGATATATTAGCTTACACTTCCCCCATGCTGAATCACATTTTATTATTCTCATTGTCTAGATCCCTTTGTCAGGAGAAGGGCTTTTAATTGTGCATTTTCCCAGCAACTCACAAAACAGAGCCCTGATTTGAGCTGTTAGGTACTCCCATTAATGTATGATAAAGGGCACAGAATTTCATGAGTTCAGTCAGATCATCATCCACATTTGGATCTTTCCAAGAATAATTTTTGAATTCTGGTCTGCTGGAGAATAATACTATTGTCTTTAGATCAAATGTAGATGAATAAAGGCCAGTACAATGTGAAAAATATTGACTTCCAGTCTGGAATTTTTAATGAAAATAAAACCTGAATTGAACTTTTGATGGAAAGAGCCAGTAAAATCATAGCTTGCTAGAATCAGATTTTACCAGATAATCTCTTTATCTCATAATTAGCTAGTGACTGTCCAATTTTCATCTGTAATTGTTTACAACCAAAATGGCTTTAATATTATGTAAATCTAAATCTTCTTGAGGACACAATTACAAGTGAAAAGCTTATTTAACTCAAAGAATTTAAAAAAGGTATCTGACATTTTCAGCGCTACCATACCTAAGGTTAGTGTGAAAAACTAAGGGCCAAATCTTCAAAAGTGACCTTTAATTTTGCTGTTGTTTTTTTCCCCTTCAATACCCAAAAGATAGTGAATTAAAACTACATTCAAAAGTAGAGGCATGGTATGGCCCCTTTGAAAACATGGGGCATGTTGGCTCCTTAAGCCTCTCAACAGCCCACACTATGAGTAAAGATTTAGACAAGACTACCACTAGAAGAAAGGAAGACTGATGCTAATCCCATTTGCTAGACACGGTCCAACCTGCCCCCTTATGAAGCATAGGCCCCAGGTAAATAGTAGTATATGATCATGTAATTAAACATTATAATATAAATGCAGAGTTAAGGCTGCACCCACAACCTCAACTTAAGCATTTCCTAACTTTTGAGTGCTTCCATTTGCTGCCTTAGCATTCTTTTAAACATATTATGCCATAAAAACAAACAACTGCTCCTCTGCATTTCTTCAGCTCATTCTAAGGATTACAGAGAACTTTGTAAACCAGAATCAACTAAACATCCCAAGACCCCTGTGTGCTGAGGAAGTACCTTTTCCCCCATTTAATAATGAGGTATCAGAAGGCTAAGTTACTTGCTCGTGGTCATACAGTAAGTCTGTGACTGAGTAGAACTCTGATTCCAGTTCCTGTGCTTCAACCATACAACTACTCCTTCCCTTTTATGTATTACTAATGGTTACTTATGTTATAGTAACAACCACCTGCAGTGATAAAAATTGGGCCCTATTGGGCTAGGCATTGTGTAAGCAGAAGGTAGACATGATCCCAGTCCCAACCAGCAAGACCAGTCTTCTTCATGTATACCTTGTCACACTCCTATAAAAATGCTTTTCAACTTTCTTATTAGCATGGATTAGATTTGGACATTAGTAAATATCATTAGAGTTGCAAGACAGCGAAGAGAAAAATCAACTATTTATTTATAAAACCCAACTGAGGGGCCTGGTTGCTCTCTTTCACATATAGCACAGTCTTGAAGTGAATAATTTTAAAGGAAAATTCAAGTATTATATTGTAGCTCTGGCCCAAAATTTAGATTCCGATCACGTGTACCCACATGAGTATTAAAAAACCTAACAAGAGAAATGTTTTCATGAAATTACATTTTGAAAATATTTCAAGGGTTTTTTTTTTTTTTATAAAAGCCCTTCAGTACTTAAAAACAGAAACTTGAAAAGAACCAGCTTAATTTCACTGCCTAAGCTAAATGAAGTGCAAGAAGCAAATAAGCAGTACATGTAGGGCTTCTGTTTTGGGGGTTTAATAAATTCATATTTCTGGATTTATTTTTAGTGTATTTTGAGTTTTATGTAGATGTCCAAAAATTGGAGATTTTCAGGGCTTTCTCTGCATATACTGTAATGAGCAATGTATATGATATACTTTATAGCATATACTACTATAATGAATAATTTCTTTGTAATGTTCACTTGTGCACTTTAATGTAGTGCTGTTTCAAAGAGCACCATGTTATAGCATACGGAGAAACCTTTAGTGCACACCAGGAGGGTTTACATGGACCAATTAACGCACAACACATTAGAGCACTTTAGAAATCACACGCCTCATAGTTCGCCTTACTGCTCTGTGTAGACAAGCCCTTAGTTACAAGTAACCATTTCTGGTGGTTATTGGATAAACACCTCTCTAATTTTTTTTCTTGGGGTATTTTATCAATGTTTATTAGTTAAAGCCAAAAAATCAGAAGCCCTGAGTAGAAGAATTTCAAAAGATCTTAATTGAAAACGAATCGAAACCTTAATTGAAACCTGTTTTTGGTTACAAACATAATGCATAAATATTGTACAAGAATTAATGTTGAGTTCAAACCAAATGTACAGTAATAGTAATACATTAATATAAAAATTATTTCAATGAATTCTTAGAAAATCATCAAAGTCAAGGACTGCATTATTTTATGGGCTCAATGTTCAGTATGGCTTACCAGGAATAAGGGTTTAATAGAATCTATATTAATTTAACCAAATTTGAATACATGGAGGTCAGACAGCAAAATTTTTCTGTAACAAATCATGTTCCGAATTTTGATGACCCAGCAACCCAGACTGAGTACGCATAACCCAAGGGCCAGACTGTCCCTCCCAAGCAGTGCTTAATTTGTAATGAAAGAGGTGTGGGGACTCAAGCAATTTTTTTACTCTCATAACTGACATAGCAAGTCTAAAGGTGCTGGGGCTATGAACAGCTAAGCCTAGAGGTGCCAGGTCTCAGTCCTGGCATAAAGTAAGCCCTGCCTCCAGAGTTAAAAGTTGTGGAAGGGCACTTTTTGCTTGTAAATCTCCATAAGGAGATTCCTCCAAGATTCTCCTGCATCATCCTGTTTACTCAACCCTTTCCTCTATGTGGAAAGCCCTTTGCAGGGCCCAGGGGGGTGGTGTCTAAGAGGCGTCATCCATGTGAGGATCTAATTAGGGAGAATCTAGGTTTAAGATCTTAGTAGCAACTTTGGAACAACATATGCCTTAGGAAATAATTATAGCATATGTCTTTTTAGCTTGTGTAACAGGGAGATCTATCCTCTTTAAGGAGCAGTGGGGATTGGAGCCATCCAACGTGTTTCATGACATTGCCTCTTTAAGGAATAGGTGTTTAAAGGAGCAGTGGACAAGCTTGGAGAATCGGAGCCAGAGGGTAATCAGGGAGCTACCTCCTGAACAGGATAAAAACCCAGCTAGTATTTGACTACAGGAGATAGAAGAGGTTCTGTGAAGCGGGGTTGGAACCCAGATACCAGTAGGCCTGGGAAGCCTGCTTGAGTCGGTACCCAGCCCCATGCAGGACGGCTGAGGAATCGCTTACCCAGGGGTTCAGATTTGAGACTCCAGGGAGCAGGGTCGGATGAGGCCTGTGGAAAAGACTGTCCAGAGAAGCCATGGTTTACAGTGTGACTGAGCTCCCTGCCTCACAAGTAACTGGAGGAGAAAACTGGGAACCTGAAGACCTGCTGTACCCTATTTGGCAGGGCTGTGGAACTATGGCAATATTAATTTGTTCTTCTCTTTATGCAGCACAATTTGGAATCAAGAAACAAAATATCTCAGTTATTTCTCAAAAACTTTTACTGAAAACCAGCTTCCCACACCCAAATGGAAGGTAATTACTGGAATGTTATTTGTTCTACTCTAACTTTCTAGGTCTTCCTAGTTTCACTTCTTGTCTGGTTAGAGAGGAATGGGCTCTCACATCTTTTACTTTTGAATGTTATAGATACTCCTGCTCTTTTAAGTCAGAGAATCTAGTGCCATTTCAGTGGGTAGGGATGAAGGTGATAAATGTGGTTAATAAACCGTCCAGCAACATTTTAAATTTAATTCAGCAGAGAGTTTCATCGCTGCCTGCACTACTGGTGGCCCTCTCTGGTTACACAGATCTTTGTATCCTTATTGAAGTATTTTTGTAATCTTTTGGTGGTGCTTTCTCATTTCTGCCCAACTAACTTCTAGTGTCGTGCCCATTCATCTTGAAATGAGTTAGATGATTAAAGAAAGGCGAAATGAAGAGAAAAAAAGTTGAAATAGGATTTTAATCACAAAGAGGAGAGAATTTAATAATTTAGACACCTCCATCTTTCCAGATTCTCAAACCCTAAAGCACAACAGAAAAGGAATCGGAGAAGGTCCATCCTTACCAAATTTGTCAGATTTAGGGCCCAATCCTTCAATCTTCATTTATGTGACTTAGATACATTCAAGTCAATGGGACTACTCATGTGAACAAGGGCTGCAGGATAGGGTGTTACCTATTAGCTTTAAATGTCCCTGACATTTAAAAATAAATCACAAATGTCCTAATTCCAAAGATATAGGGAAAGCTCCTATTGGCTTCAATGATCAGAAGGGTTTGGGCTCTTAGTATTTGTAAAGTGCTGTGAGACCCCTAAATGAAAGGTACTATTCTACAGGAGTGTAAAACACTATAAAAGTACAGAGTATGAAGTTATCCCAAGGGCTTAAAATGACAAACCCTTACCTTGAACTTTTTTGAAAACCCTCGAACTCATGAACTTTAAAAACCTGTCTGCATAAAAACTTGGTCTGTGGACTGAAACAGTGTCCTAAAAAGAGAGAAAAGACCTTAAAGTTACACTCTTCATATGCAATTCAAGATGATATGTGCAAGAGAAAAACCTGACACGTTTTGGGTAAGTTATATCATGCCCTGTTTGGGAATTCATGCAAGGAGATCTAGGATTTTACCTTCTCAGAGGTTACTGTGTATTACTACACCCCTCTGCCACCCATTTTCTTTCACTGTAATCTTGACAAAAGATCGGTCTAATTATTTTAAGCATTCAAGACAATTTAGAAATACCCCTTTATAATTTATTCGATTCATATTTTACAAAGTCTTGTTCATATTTAAAAATGTGTCATTTCCCTTTTTGGGTAAAAATCTCAACTGAAGGCTCAATATTCAAACATGGGTGCCCTAAAACGACCAAATTCCTTATTGGAATGCTTTAATCAAGCACTGATGGGCACTTATCATGGCAGTGCATCTAAGGGCCCACTGAATACCCTGGGGCCAAATTCTGCCCTGCGTGACATTCTTTGCAACTGGACTGATGTTGATTCAGGGCACAATTTGAGTATTTAATTAACTTTAAATTAGTTTTGGGGATGGATTACTCCATCCCCATTTTAGTTGTATTGTGAGGATAGTTTTGAGTAACCTGGTACAGTGTAGTTATAAGGATGATCTGGTCACCTTTGCATGTGTATCTGTTTTTCTTTTTATCTTTTATTTAAAAAAATTAAACAATCAGCAAAGTAAGATGAACATATGTCAGAAATCACATAACTAAAATCATTAAGGAAAAACATACTGAAACAAAATCACATCTAATTGCCTAGATACCACAGTGATGGGTGGATTATAAACGTAATAGCTCGCTGTCTTAAACAAGAATCAGAATTTTATTCTGAAAAATGCTAATAATTTAAGAAGCAACTTACACCATCATATACAAGTGCTTTCCAGGAATGTTCTAGCTTCTTCATTAACCTAAGCAATTAAATAAATTAAAAAAAAAAAACCATGTTGTGAAATTCCCTCATTTTGCAGCCATCTCAGAACACTTTATTAAGATAATGGCTTAACATACAGCAAAATATTTCCATTCTAAACTGCCACTTACCTGTAAGACTGTAGGATATCAATAATACCCATAAATAGAAGCAGCTTTTCTCCTTTATGGCTTTTAGCTGGAATGCCTCCCATTCTAATGGCAACAACAAAATAATTTTATTAGATGTTGTATTTTATCAGACCTTTTTAATATCACTATTTAGAAGGTGAACTGCATTTACTTTAAAAAAAATCAGCAGCATTAAGGCTAGTTGTTGAATGCAAGCTGCCCAGGGCTTCTTGTCTCCTCACTGGGAGCAGGGGGGTGGCGGGTGTGGAGGGGGGAAGCCACCCAGGGCCTTCTTGCCCTTGGGGAGTGGGGTCCAGTTGCCCTTGCGTCCCACCTCCGCTCCCCCATCCAGCTCCTGAGCCGTGAAAAATCACAAGACAGCCAACATTCCCAGCCAGGAGTGGGGTCCAGCTGCCCCAGCTCTGGGAGCAGCTGGGCTCTAGGTGCCTGGCTTTCTTGTCAATTTCATGGCGGAGAACAGCCAGTGTACGGAATGCAGTGTCTACACAAAACACTGCATTGCCCTAACCATAGGCACCGACTCTGTGGGAGCTCCAGCATTGGAGCATCCGTGGAAAAAAAATTAATATTCACTTAACACCCGCCGGCGGTCCTGCTGATCAACTCCTCCCTCTCCCTCCCAGTACCTCCCACCCGCTACGATCAGCTGTTCTGCGGCATGCAGGAGTTGCTAGGGGAGGAGGGGAGGAGCAGGGATGGGGCGCGCTCGGGGGAGTGGGCGGAACTGGGCAGGAAGAGGCAGGGCAGGGCGGAGATTTCGGGGAAGGGGTGGAGCAGGGGCAGGCCTGGGACTGAGCAGGGGTTGAGCACCCCCGGGGAAAAGGAAGAAGCCAGCGCCTATAGCCCTAACTACACAGACATAAGCCCTCCGCCTCTCGTTTATTATGCCAGTAGAGCAAAAGAGTGACATGAACGGGCTGAGCATTTCATTGTGTACACCTCCACTGTTTTGTCGACAAAAGCTTACTTTTGTGGACAAAAAACTGTGTAGTGTAGACAAGGCCTTAGAAGCCAACATTCAATTGACTTTCAATGGGGCCTAGGTTTCTAAGTCTTCTGGGCACTTAAAATTTTACCCAACATCCCTAATCATGTAAATAATGCCAGAGGATTTTTGATGATCCTATGCTTTAAGACTCATTGAAAACAGAACACTTCCAATAACACAAAGTCCCCACCACCATGCTTGAGCATTGGTTCAGTATAACTTGGCTCATTCTTGGATGCAAATGAGAGTGTAATATTGTACAACTTGGGCACAATTCAGCTCTTTGTCTCAACTTATATTCTCGTGCTTCAAACATTTGAAGTTGTGAATAAATAATAATAATAATGCCTAGCTCTTATATAGCACTTTTTGTCAGCAGATCTCAATGTGCTTTACACAAGGAGGTCAGTATTCTTATCCTCACTTTCATATGGGGAAACTGCCGCACTGGAAGGTAAAGTGACTTCTCCAAGGTCACCCAGCAGTCCAGTGGCAAAGCTGGAAACAGAACAGTATTATCCTCCCATTAATTTGTTGTAAGTTTAAACCCATGCTTCATTAGCATTAATGGTATTTACCTGCATAACTCCCTGGTTAACGGACAGTAAGCCCTTTTCAATGTGAAATTAAGTCTCTGTTATATCAAGGATTGATTACACAGAATAAGAATGCTGACTGTAACTCTCTTATTAGCACGGAACATACATCAAGGATAGAATAATTTGAGGAGCCCTTGATTCTTGGAATGACAAAAGTTGAAATGTTTCACCCCTTTCTGTAAAATGTATCTGTCACAACCTTAAAATTCTCTGCATGTCACAGCCTGTTGTCAGACATTAAGGTGACAGAAGTATTGTCTTTTGAATGTGATATAAAGCAGAGGTGCTGATCACCATGGTTATTAAAAATTCCATGGCACTATTTGTAAGTGAAGGAGTCTTAACATCGATGTCCTGGCTGAATTCCAGCCTGGATAATTACAATCTGCCTATCTAAAATTCCTCTGCAGCTTCAGTTAGATAGGAAGAGGAGAGTAATATGTTCTAAACTGTAGTGTGGTGTTTCTGTAACCTGTTAAAATATCTGTCTTGTTTCACCTCAGCAGTGGCTGCACTTCAACAGTTGGTGAAGCAATTCCTGTGTATGTAGTGAGTACATTTCTTTGGGATGACAGGCACTACAGAAATATCAATATAATCAATATCAATAATCGCTTTGCTCACAGTGCTGACACTGTTTACAGTTAAACAGAGATTATGTGTTGAGGTCTTATAAAAGATATATAATGAAAGTCATTACAAGTGAGTTCACTACGTGCCGATAAATTGTTCTAAATTAGAACTGCAATTGCTATCATGTATTTAAAGATGAATAAATTGAATCAAAGTTTTTATTTCCTGGTCTCCAGTGAACCTTGGTATGCAAGCTTGGAATGTTTTTTAAGAAAGCATTTAGCTTAATCCTTCAATCACTCCTACGTAGCGCCTTCCTGGACGGGAAGCTAGCCAGAGTTAGATTTAATACAACGTAAAACAGTTTGCAGAAATAAAAATTTAGAAATTCCCAATCAATTTTTAACAGATTTTGGGGACTTACGTATTTGTAGCTTCTGTGGTGACAGATTCCCCAGACTTTCCAGGACCCTGTATGGATTCCATGGCTGTAGAATAGAGAACTTTCTGTCCCCCAGGACGTTTGGCATCAGATGCATTCTGGGAACTCTCCCCATCCTTCTCTTTTGTGATACTGTCCAATACATGGACCCCCAGCAGCAGACTATAATCCATGATTTTAAAGCTTTCCAGCACCTATTAACGAAGAAGGACTGCGTGTACTGTAACACACACAAATGACTACACACAATTTAAATTTCTGCTGTGTAATTCAACAACTGGAGAAAATCCAAATAAAAGGAAAAAAACCCATACAGGTATGTCAATATAATGGGTTTGATGACGACAGTTTGCAGAAACGTTAACCAAAGTAATATTTTTGTACTAGCCTCCCACCTTCTGTCTGAGATTCCCAGAGCAACTTACAAATGTTAATAAGCTAACCATCACAGCACCCTCATTAAAAGTTGGAAAACTAAAATACATAGAAATGTAAGGCCTAATTTAAGGCCATTTTCAGCTGGAGAGTTTGCCTCACCAGCAACTCCATTTCATTTCTAGTGAGGAAGCAGTTAATTAGTTGTCTTCTACTCTGATGCACTATATACATTATTTTTACCCTATCTGCTATACATATACAAACCCAGTGCTGAACAAAATCCTTGATGGGCAGATTTTCAAAAAGGAAAAGGGGCAGTCAAGATGCCCCACTCCCATGAAAAGTCAGTCGGATTTGGCATCTAACTCCCATTTGTGCCTTTGACAATCTCTCCGTAACAGGCCAAAACTGGCGAATATAAACTTTATACTTGAACTATGACTTGATTTTTAACCAGTTCCCTCCCCTGGTCCTACCAATCACATGGACTCTCTGACCTTGACAGGTTCCACTTCCCCATTCTTGCAAGTATGTAAGAGATTCTAATCTCAGTTGCACCAGTATGAATCCAGAGGAACTCCATTAAAAGGAAAAACCTCTCTCTGAGTCAATTAACGTTTTTAGGATCTCCTTCAGTCCCCCTTTTTACATTTTAATACTATATCAGAATCAGTGACAGATAGGTATTGTATCAAACATCCTGTATGAAAGCCCTGTTTGGCACAGGGATAGCAACCTATTTAACTTCCTGTAATCTCAAAGAGAAATATGGAGCAACGGGTGCCCTTTTCTTCATGCAGCTCAAGAATAATTTAACACAGATTTTGATACAAGATGCCTTACTGATAATGTTGTAATTTTTGGCACTGAACTGCAAAATGTTATGTCATTTTACCAGGAACAAGAACAATTTGATTTTACAGAGACAACAAATGAAGCACAGTAACTCCAGGTGTGCCAATTCAGTCACGCTTATCAGAGCTGACTGAATTGGTGTTTTACACAAAACACTGGGTTAATTTATGAAACCCAGTGCACATACTTGCATTTTCAAAAGGAGATCAGAAAAGATTTCAACATAGCTGGGAGATCCACCACCTATGAAAACACTGTATCTTACCAACCATTGACTGCAGACTTGGATGTGGGGAGGCTGTTTTATTCAATGTGCACATTTCTAAAGCACTGATCACTGTAGTAACTAGAAGACATACATATACACACACTTGATATTAGCATCCGTTCTATCCCCATTCTGCAACTCTTGCATCTCGTGTTACTTTCCTGAATTAAATCCTTTTTCATAGCTGTCTTCCATGAGAAACATCAAGGCCTCCTTCTACCACCATTGTTAATGTGGAAAGGCTTGCACAAAAAGTCTTACATTGTACCCTAACTGTAGAAAGGTCAGGTCTCACTCTGGGGATAACACATATCAAATGACTGAGCAAGTGGTCTGAATATAAAGGAGGTAACTGAGCGAAGTCGAACACACACATCTTGCAGAATTCTTCTATAAAAGAGGAACAGGTTGGCTTCAAACAAAGTGCAAGAAAAGTGCCTCCATACAGTCAAACGCATGAGATGAAGCTATCAGCACCCCAGCACATCCTCTGACCCTGCTAATACAGGCTTTTGGGCAACAGTAAAATAAAAATCTAGAATAGCACATGAGAAGATCAGGAAAATCTAATTCATTACACAGAATGTGGGACTGATGGGTCACTAAACACTTCCTGGTTTATGGCATTGGGAATCTGGAACTGCAAAAACAGTGTAGTTAAGGAATACAAGGTCCTGTATTGCATGAATACATCAGAATACTAGAGTCAGGAACTCACACAAGTATGGTTCTCTTTGCCCCTGCCACAGTAAATAAAGTTTGTTTTAAAAAGGTTTATTTTCATAGGTTGCCTATTTTTATAAAACTAGATGGTCCAAGATGACTTGTGTGTGTGCCATTTAAAATGGAGAGAAAGCGGATGCCTAGCCTATTGCACAAACATAAATAAAAAGGTAAATTAACATTTGCCCTTCTGAAAATACTACTCTGGTATTGCAGCCAATATCAGTGTCTACGTAAATCCTGATTTCATCAACTAAATAAGTTTGGGAAGACAGTGCCATTTTCATTTGTGCGCTTCACTTAAAAATCAGCTCACATTCTTTGCTTTAATGAAATCTGTGCTTGCCCCATTCTCTACCCCTTTGGGATTAGATACTTCATGGTTCCGCTGAATTAAAATCAAGGTCTAACATCAAGTTAATATCTGATACAGTCTCTTGAAAGACTAAGGTATATATCCAGCTTGCCAGTGCAAAGGGATATATTGTGCAATACAGAAGAACTCTTACTGAAGTGATCCACCCTCATCTCCTTTTGCCCCTGCTCCTTGCGCTAAAAATTGACTAAGAGTTTCATTGCTGTCCTCATTTTTGTTCCAGGATCACTAAAACTAACCCTGTACTACTACTTAGCTGCTCTAAATTTCTTGGAAACTGAAGTGAGCAAAGTGACATTTTTTCCTAGGCAGACGCTCAGCACATAATTCATTTTTACATGCAGCAACCTATGTGAACCTTCGGGTAGGTCTACACTACCCGCCGGATCGGCGGATAGTGATCAATATATCGGGGGTCGATTTATCACGTCTAGTCTAGACATGATAAATAAATCCCTAAGTGCTCTCCCGTCGACTCTGGAACTCCAGTGCCGCGAAAGGCGCAAGCAGAGTCGACGGGGGAGCAGCGGCAGTTGACTCACTGGCGTGAAGACACCACGGTAAGTCAATCTAGGTATTTCGACTTCAGCCATGCTATTCTCATAGCTGAAGTTGCAGACCTTACATCGACTCTCTTCCCCCTCACCTCCCCCCCCATGTAGACCAGGGCTTACTGTAGCCATTTGAATCCTATTCTTGCTCTCTAGACATTTAACTGCATAAACCAGCTGAACAGATCCTGAATAAACTGAAATAATAATACTCTGAAATATTTTCAGTGTACATTAAAACAGTGACTGCTGTATAAGTTGCCCCTTCTATTCTTAACTTGTACTGTACAAAGATTTAACAGGATTGTCAAAAATAGTGTCCAGGCTGAATGTATTATGTGCTAAGAGACAATACACTGTCAAAAAGAGTATGCCATAAGTAAATTATGAAAAATTCTTCTCCCTCCCTCCCACACACATTGCCATTTGAATGATTGGGTTCTCTCTCTGCTGAGACTTTGAGTTAGTCAGGGGCTCTGGGAATAACCCTAGCGAGAGCCAACCACATAAGCTACCACCTAAGCCCACAATGAACCAACTAGCTCTGCCTCTGAGCAGCACCGTGTTCCTGATGCTGCATGTGCTGTAGACAGACTAATGATGGGGTCTGCATATGTAATATTTGGCCACAGGCTATCACAGCACATGCAAAACTATTACAGTGTGGTAAGACTCCTCACAATAGAACTGCTAAACAGGTTCACAAAAACTAATATCATGAGCACATGGAATACACAATCAACCTTTTCAGATTTTGCAAATAGATCATTTATTTTCTAGATGTATTTTGTTGATCCGGAATTTAGTAATACCACCAAAGTCCAGCTGAAATCCAAAAATGTACATCTAGAGACTTGAACTGCTGATTTCAATAGACTTTGGATAGTGACAATAATATAATTGCTAATGTTACTGATAAAAAAAATACTTGACCAGATTTTTATCTCTGAATACATTATGCTAGAAGAAATGGAGGGTTATTTTGGATTTCTGCTGATGTGAATGAGATCAGAATCTGGCCTTCAAACAATAGCTGACTGCCATGGAAACATTCCACGTGTGCTACAATACATGTTAGGCAAAGCAGAATGAGATACAAAAAAACTATGGGCCTTACATAAGCCCACAAAATAAAATAAAATTTGGCCATACAGACATCTATCCCTGGTGCTCCATAACACTGCAATGGGTACTCAGATGCCATATGAGCTGCAGCATTTGGACACAACAGATTGAATTAAGGCTGGAAGAAAATAAAGCCTAGATCTGAAGTTCTTCTGGGAAAAGAGCTTTTTGTCCTTAACTCTGAATTTCCTTACTTTAGTAGGTTTAAGTCAGGCCATTAATGTAGCTCTTTTAAAATTTAATTTCCTCAGTCAAGTTCACAATGTTCTCTGCTAATGCAATAAAAGAAAAATACAGACTGCAATAAAACTCTTTCTGGTAAAAAAAACAAACAAACAAAAAAACAGTATGAAGTAACTGCCCTGTTCTTAAAAAATCATGATCACAACTAGATTAACTATTGTTGCTTCTGTAATAGCTATTTTGAATTTCTGCTATTAGTGGGTTAACGACTCTAATACTATGAATTATGAAATTAGCTTTGGAATAGGTGGGCCCAACTTCCATTGGGTGGACTGGACAGATACCTAGTTACTCAAAATCTGAATTTGGCCCTTTAGTTTTGTTTGCATTCCAATTAAAAATAGCAGACAGACACTTAGGCTGGTCAGATGGAAATTCATCTTGACATATGTTAACTAGAAACAAACAGGAAAATGACAAATTTCCCATTCCCTCCCCCTATTTTCTGTCCAGCTCTATTTAGCATTTAAATATTGATTTTCTTCTTCAGAATACCTTAAAACCAGTAACTCAATCCTCATAACACTCCTGTGAGGCATCTAAGTATTATCTGAATTTTAAATTGGGAAAACTGAGGCAGAAAGGTTAAATAACTTGCCATAATAGAAGAGAGAATGTAAGAGCAGTTTTTAGAACTCAGAAATTTTTCGTTCCCTCACCAGCAGTCATATCATC